CCAACATAATCAAATCAGTAAATAGCTTGATAGATCTTTAATGGAAGGTAAGATCTAAATTGTTTGGAGTTTGGAAGCATGTATTTGAGCAGTGTCCGTTATGATGTTGTATCAAAAACTCAACTAGGAAACAACCATCCACAAGCATCGATGTTAACAAATTTCTCATCATTCATGTTTATGGGTTCTGAATAGCAATTTCGAACTTTTTTCATCCAAGATTGAGTATTTTCCTTAAGGAACTCCAATGAATCACTCTGGTTACCTAAACGGCTTAGAAAGTTCAAAAAACGTCGAAGTTTATATGGCTCAGTGACTAACAAATCCTTTCGATGATGGAGAAATGGACCTATGGAAATAACTTGAGGGGTATAGGCTCTATGATTCATACTGCGTAACAGTTTAGGAACTCGAAAGATGCTACATTCTACATTAATCGGAGGTAGCTTGTCTATCATTTCTTTTATGGATAGTACAGCATTACGACAGAGGTTGTTCACCTTGTTCAGCTTCATGAACTCCTGCCATATTGTCTGATTTGTCGTTTGGTTGATCAACTTCAGTCTGACTATTTTCCATTTCAAACCAACATCCACATTTTCAAATTTCCTTAAATTAAAGTAATGCATATATTCTTAAAAATGAAAGAAAATAAGGAAGCAAAAATGAATTTAATGAAACCAAAAGATACTTTGTGTGCAAATTGATGGAAGAAATGGTGGTGGTGAATGAAAATGAGGGAAGGAAGAGGAAATAAGAAGGGTAAGGTTGGGATGACCAAGTAAACTACCTCACATACATGATGGCATGGAGGAGTAAATATATAGACAGCTCAAGGACTACCACTCACTCTCTCTCAAACGATAAGTATTAAAGAGATATGAAAAGAGAAATATATATATGAATAGGGCATATTGGGTTCTAATTCCCTAGGGGTTTTTTACTTTCTTGATAGTCACATTAGCCTCGTGGAGCTTACTTATTCCGGGAGAAATAATAACATAATTTTCATCAATGTTAAGGCATGATGGGAACTGAGCATTTCTTATTTGAGTGTAAAAATCTCTCTCTAGTGAGGCTGACGCATTTTGAAATCGTGAGGCTGACGACCATATATAACTGGTTAAAGCGGACAATTTCGGTTAGAAATGGACTTGGGTTATAAAACTATTCAATCTTACTAATTAAGAAGCAGACAATTTCGATTTTTTTTTCAGTCTAGAGAGTACAACTTTAATTAGTATTGTTTTTTTTTTTTTTTTTTAATGGTAAGAGGTTTGAATATTAATTTAATAGACCCAACTTGAACATAAGTTGTTGAATTCCAATTAAGAGCTTTGTTTGAATCCAATGACTACATCGTAGCTGTAGTAGTTGAGTTGCTACGACGTCAACCAACGATGGCAGCGACCCTTGCAATAATCTTTCAATTGTAATATGGAAGAAAATATTAATAGTAAAACTTATGTGGATATAACAAAATATATATATATATATATATATATATATATATATATATATATATATATATATATATATATATAT